CGCAGCCAGGCCGAGGTTCGATTCCCACGAGGGGGACGCGACGCGACGCAACGCAACGCGAAGCGACTTTTGGCACCCAATAAGGGGGGCGCACAATGCGCTGCGGTATCGATTAACATAGGCGTGACACTCGTTGTCTCGCGGCGCAAAATTAAATGGAAGTGGAACCATTAGCGCGTGACTTGGGTGACTCGGCAGACATTGTCAAGTGGGCGTCCGAGGCACTGCGAAGCACCCGGAGGCGTTTTGTCCATAATTCATCCAGTCAGCCAGGCCTCGCAGTGCCTCTGCCGGGTCGGGGGTCGCGCCCCGCCGCTCCACTGCGCTACCTGGAGGATGCGGTCGCCCGTTCGCCCTCGTTCGCCCAAAAGGCACACGCCACCTTTTCTTGGCACGTCATAACAGAAAATAATAATAAGAGGCCAACGGGGCTGCGCGCGGGCACGGATTACCCGCACACCTTTTCATATTGAACCGCAATCCGACCCCGGCACTGTGCAGCCGCGCCTTGCAATCCAATGCAACCCTCTGCCGCTGCCCGACGCGCGCGGAGGCACTCAGAGGGGGAGAGAGAAAGCACAACAATGAAACGCCTTTTGCGAGTGGCGCTTGCTTCACTTTGGGCGGGAAATTCCGATCATCAACACCTCGTGACGGGGCGTGACGAGGCGGAGGAGACCGTCACATTGTCGTCACGGCCGTGAAAACGGACTCACCTGCTGCTCGCCGCGAATAAACCCCAAGGCGGCACTAACAAGCCCGGCGCTTTGCATAGTCGTAAAAAGGAGCGAAAAAAGGGGAAAGTGGAGGGGGATAAAACGGCGGAAAAAAAGGCTTGCGGTCTGCGCATGCGTGGAGTACTGGCTGAGCCTATAAAGCGAACTTGATGCACACCGCTCGCTGAGATATTCAATTACCTTGGCTGCCATTTTTACGAGTGGCTCCGCGCCCCGCGCCGCCACGCGCAGCGCAGTGACGACTTGCCGATCGCCGCCTCATATTTACCGCCAGTGACAGTGGGACAGGTGTGTGAGTGTGTGTGTGTGTGTGTGTGTGTGTGTGAGCATCGCGTTAATGAGCGCGGACCGCAATATTTATTAACGAGTAGCCCGGACCCGACTCGTTTCCGAGGTGCACGCAACGCACACACACAACAGGGCTTGGAATGGTGGGGAGGTCAAGCCCGCCGTGGACATTTACTGCCACTTGGAGGCCGAAATAAAAGTAAGTCAGTCGTTAAGACGACGGGGCGCTGTACTGTCTTCATCAGAACAACGTGCTGGCGGGGTGTGGGGTGCGCCGCCTGGACTGGGGTCGCGACTAGGGTGCTCTAGGGGCGTAAGCCGCGTCGACGTCCTGGCCACCGTCCTGGCCGAGGCCGTGCTGGGCGTCGCAGAGGCTGACGCGTACCCCTAGCAGCCCGTTGACGTGGGAACTCGATAGCCCGCAGTCCTGCCCGGTCCGCCGGGGACTTTGCCGCTGGTCTGTACAGGTTTACTGCCCGGAGCGTGGAGCTGCCCGGAGCTGGCCGAGCCCGGTCGGCCAGGCTGGCTGGGCACACTTGTGCTGGTGACAAGCGCGCCGGGCAGGCAGGGCTGGCAGCAGGCAGGGCAGGCAGAGCAGGCAGGGCCCAGCGGCTGGCCGGCCACACAATAAAATATTGCATTTTATTCGAGCAAGGTGTTGCGCCTGGTAGCGGTGTGGGGCGAGCCGGGTCCAGTCGAGGTAAGGGCCTGCCTGGCCTGCCTGCCGCCTGGCTCACTACTTGTTGTCCCGCACGGCGACGACGCGAGGCTGCCGGCCGGCTTTGGGGCATCAACGTGCTGTTGGCAATGTTTTGTTTGCGGTAATATTGTGTTGTTTTATGGCAGAAAATTTTCATTTTACGTCCCTTGCCGCCGAGTCGCTGTGACTCGCTCGCCGGAATGCGGGGAATCCTCTCGCAATGGCGGGATATTTATCGAGTCGCCACCGGCCGGGAGGCTGGAGGCCCTGGTGGCGGCTGTAGGCCCTGGACGACGTCAAGGCCGTGTACGCCGTGTTTAACGCCCCGCCATAGACACCTTGTTTATTTAATTCGAGCCTCTTCGGTGCTCTTTTTGCCGTGGATGCGAATAACAGCCTGCCCTTTGGCAAAGGGGGCATGGCAGCGCCGTCATGGCCCGGCTGCGCGGCCGAATCCCGACAAAGGAATGGTTCCATATTGTCCATTGGGGGTATTAGGGGAAACGGTAACAGGAAGAGAAAGGCGCCAAGGGTGAAGGGTGGCCCCGCGGAGCCCCCGCACCCCCCGGGGCGCCCACTCGGCCGACTCGGGCCGCTAGGATTCACTCTGCTGGGTGGCAACAATGGCCTGCAGGCTGCAATGGCCCGAAGGGCATTAGTCATGCTTCATTATTGGGCCGGCCGGGCGAGGAGCCGCGGGGGGCATCGGGGCCTAACCGAGGTGAACTTCGTACTCGCCGACATGATGCTGTTTAGAAAAAACGTCATTAATTTTTTTGGAGGTGTCTTTAGTGACTAATCAAGTCCAGGGCTGGAAGTGCGGCGCTACTTGGCCAGCTGCTGATGAGTCCGAGTAGAAGGGGGCCGGGCCGGCGAGTCCGTGTGACAGTCTTGGCGATTCGGTGCAGCCAGGCCCTGAGGCCCGGAGGCAGGGGGCGCCAAGCCAGCTCGCCCACCGCCACGATCGATATCTCAAAGCGCATATCGGCGTGGCCATCGATGTATCGCTATCTCGTTTGTCCGCACGGCTTTGTCGCCTCACTGGCTCCGCGCTTCGCTGCTGGCCGCTCTGCTCCGATTGCGGCGCTGCCGACTTGACTGACGAGGCTGGTTTCGTGACTGATTCCAATGTTCGTCATAAATTCCGGCCATCGCGCGCAAAAAAAAAGCAGCGCTGCGTGTTATGACAACGCGGATTGACGGCCGGTGGCACTGTTCGCGTGGGGCGTGCGCGGCGTGGCGGACCGAACGCGCAGTAGAAGGGCAGACCACCTCACGTGTGCCGCAGTATATCTGTCGCGCGGCCCTTTGTTTTGCGCTGCGCTCCTCTTCCTTTGGCGCGATTATTTTATTTGCGGTGGTTGTCGTCGCAACGTATACGGGCTGATGAATCACGCCAATACACACTCAATGAGGGCTCGCCGTTTCGATTCGCGAGTCGGGCCGGACGGACGGGCCGCTTGTTATAAGTCATACAGGTCCTCATAACTCGGCCGGGATAGGAGGACTCTCGAGTGGCTGCCTCGCTTGTCGGCAGTTTTTCTGCCACTTTTTCCCGGCGTCTTTTTGCGCGCGGCGCTGAGCCGCCACTCCTTCCATGGCACGTGCTGCACATTTCCCGCTCACTGATGTTGGGCGACGCGCGCGGAGTCGCTGGAATGGGAGCGGCAGTTCGCGGGCGGCGGCCACCGCGCAGGCGAGGTGCAACCAATTCACTTCCCAATCAATTAAAAATCGATCATCAATTAGGTCGCGCGGCCGTGAGTGGCGCGTGGGCGCCGGACGCGTCGCGCTCCATCGGGCACCGCCGCGGCACCGCTCGTTTGTCGCGCGCTCTCTATCGCGCGCGATTCGGGGCGCGATCCATCCCGGACGGGACGCGGGCCAAACGCCTCCTGTGCCGAGACGGCGCTGTGGCGGCGCTGGCCGGCCACGCTGATTTATGTGCTGCTTTTCCGGCAGAATGCTTGTCCCCTCCCTGACGGTGGCTGCAGTGGCTGGGCGCGGATACACGTCGCCTCGCTCCGACTGACTCCGAGAGTCACTGAGACTCTGTCGCACTCATCCTCTAAGGGGTGCGAGAGAGACGCACACGACGCTCAGTCTGTCGATGGGCCGGCCGGTAGCCGCGCAGGCCATGCAGCGTGCAGCAAACGCCACTGCAACGGAGGCGAGAGGCGCTGCGGTGCAGTGACATTACGTGCACACACACACAAGCAGCGCTGCTCTCACGCACGACGCAGTCGTCAGCGAGTCCTGCAGTGGACTGCTCCCACCTCTCTCTCCGACGGCGAAAAGGAATCAGTTCACCCATGGGGTCTGCACCTCCCTCCCCTCTCCTCCGCCCCCCGCGGTCCGCGGTAAACGACTTGTAATTGGTGAGACGCTGCGCCCCCCGCGGGTGCATGGGATAGCCCCGCCAAGGCGCCCCCGCGACCCCCCGCCGGCCGGACCCCATTGGGCCCCATCGGGGGCACTAATCTGTGAACTATGTCCTGCGCATCATGCTCGCCTCATTCCCGACTGACGTGATGAGGCCGGGTTGGGCCGGGTGTGCTGCACGCTGGGCGACGCGGCGGACGCGGCGTGCGCTCCCTTATTGATTATTCCCATCACCTCTCGCTCGGGTTATTAAAAGTGTGCTCAAAAGGCGGGCTCCACCTGCCGCTGCATTGGCACCTATGACACCAGGCGCGGGGTTTGAGTTTTTCGAAAAGGGGTTTTGGCGTGTTGATCGCAGCCATTTATTTAGTAATTTCCCTCTTCAATCCCAGTTTTTGAAATTATCCTTCCCTTCCGCGCTTTAATCACCTGCACACGATGATCCTTGTCCAATTACCTCTCCCCTCCTCTCCCCGCGGCTCGGCGAGGCTCCGCGTGACGAGATCCGTGCATCGGCACCAAATCGTCCGGAACCAAACGGAACGGCCTGCTTGTATACGAGCCGAGCACGCCGGCCGGACCGAGCGCGGCCGCGCCACGTCCCGTCCGACGTGGCCGCGGGAAGGAAATTTGAGATTTCATTCGCGTGGCCGACGAAGGGTCAAAGCCTGGCCGTCCAAGCACACTCGGTGCGGGGCGTGGCGGCGAGGCCCCGGGGCTCGGCATGGACGCCGTCGACGTGGTCCTCGCACGAATATTAATGAGAGGCGGTGACGCGTGGGCCGAGCGGGTACTTCGTGCACGACGTCGGCCTGGCTTGCCGCGTCTCCATGCATTTTGGACAGGACGACCTTTGCGGACGACCCACTGACCCCGTTCTTTTTTCTTCGCAGGTGAACCGACCAATGACGATGAAGAAGGAGGGCATCCAGACGCGGAATCGCAAGCTGTCGTCCAAGTCCAAGAAGAAGAAGGGCGTCGGTGGCGGCTGCCTCAGCTTGTCGGGGGTCATGTCGGAGATGATGAAGCCGCTGGACCCGAGCGGCAAAGGCGTCGGCGGCTACCCTGGCTCCTTCAACACCAACCCCCACCACCACCTCGGCGCGGCGGCCCTCCACCCCGCGGCGCACCACGCGGCCGCGGCCATGAGCCACTGGTACCACGGCTCCAACGTGCACCATCACCAGGTAGGTACCACGAGAAGCGCCTCGCCTCCCCGTTGTCGCTGCCGTTGCTGACGGTCTTCTTGTTGCAGAGCTTCGTGGCGCCCGCACCCACACCCCACGGCGGCCTCGGAGGGGGCCACCCACACCCCGGCGCAGCCAGCATGCACCATCACCACCACATGAGTCCCCTGTCGGCGCTGGGCTCCGGGTCGTTGGGCTTGGCCGCCACCTCCAACTCGATGGTAAGCATGAGGCTAGCGCGCACATGAGCGTCAGTGTCTAAATTTTCAATCTGAAAGCATCTTTAGAGTGTATTGCTAATTGTGTTTCGTTTGTTTTCGACAGGCGAGCTGGCGGTCAGAATACACATGATGAGCCCCAACAGTCTAGCGAGGTTCAAACCAACTGCAGCATGCTCCGCTCCAGCTCCAGAAGTGCATGGCTCAGGCAGGCAACGGCAGCAGCGCCGCGACCCACCGCAGAAAACTCCTTGTTAGAATTCTAGTTAAATTATCATTTCGCTCGCACTGGATGGAAAGCGGCATCCCTATTTATTATTTCTATTATTTCTCTTCCGCTTTTTCTTGGAAAGCTGTTTTCTGTGGCCTTCTGTCTGGCAATTGGCACGCACAAGCTGCAGAGTGACAACAAAGTGATCTATGAAGACTTGTAGTGACGAGTACAAACCAATTTAATGAGAAACTAAAGACAAAATATAATTTAAATTATTATTATTTTATTTGTGAGATATGACATTATTATATTATTATTGCTATTATTATAACTGTTATTATTGCGAGGGTTGATAATTGAAGAATATCGTAACTGTCATACAGGAGCCTTGTACGAACATACTCTGCAAGTTTGTTTTATTATTTTTCTCTCTGAAAACGTTTGTTAAATGCAGTCGTTTTTTGGTCAACTTCCAAATTTCAACAGTCTTTTATTGGGTTTTGAGTGACTGCTCGTCTACTTAGTATGCACTCCTTTGATACATTCTTGACGTTACCTGTTTACATTTTTTTCATTGCAATGGAGTTTTAAAAACAAGATAGGAAGTCAGTATGAAAGAGCCTTGAGTGAGTGTGAATGTGTGTTTGTGTGTGTGTACGTGCGCGATAGCACGGAGATAGCGCGTGCATTGTTCAGCTCGACACAGGGATTGTGATTGTTCAAAATTAGTATTTAAAAAAATAATTCTGTACTAAATCTGTAATTTGTTTGTAATTTGTTTTTATAGATTAATATGAACCTTCAAAGTTACCATTGTTTTGTACGATTTGGATAAGAGGCTTTATGCTGTCAGTTTTAAGTTGCTCCACTGCTTAGCTCTGTATTCTAGTTCCGTATTCTTCTATAATTTGTGCTGATGCAAATTAAATAGAGACCTTTAGTTCAAACAAGTTGTTGTACCGCGCGGATACATGTAAACACAATATATGTGGATGCCGGCAGCGGAGACGCGCAAGGCGCTGTTAATATGACAAGAGAGCTAATTTTATCGTGTGATTCCTTGTGATCGGTCTCACCCAATCCTATCTGTGATTTTGAAATCACAATCCGCGTTGTCTCACCTGATGTGAAGTGTGATATCCTGTGCAGCTCCAGAGGCGGTGGGCTCCGTACGGCGGAGGGCGGGTGGCGGGGCGTCTGTGGTCCCCGGCCAGGTCACCATAGGTGTCTCGCTGCCCCCGAAGCTCCCCGACGGCTGCCGAGCCTCAGATCTCTTGATTGTAAACTATTTTGCATGTTCGTCACGTTACGACGGTCGAGCAGCGCGTGAGCGAGATGCTGGCTGCGTCCGTCGCCAACTCAACAAGCAAAAAATTTAAAAATTCTTATTGTTTTCAATTTTGACTCCAGCCCCGCTGTCTCCACCTCTCCACCACCTTTTCGTGTTGCACTTGTTGAAAAGGGGTGGCCAGAGCGTTGAGACAGGTTGGACTTGGCGACGAGCAGCGGCCAGCGTCGAACGGCCCTCGAGGCCCTCGACGGCCACCCCGCGCAAAACTAAGCATACCAAAGTTTGTATTTATTTAAGCGGCGGCTCAGCTCAGCCGGGCTGCCGGTCACAGAGTTATATTATAGCGTTCCCTCGCCTCGGGGGAACACCACAGATACTATTGTGATGTGTGAAATAATGTATTTTTAAAATGGGGCAAAACAAAAATTTTACTAGTGATAAAGATTATTAAACGATTGTATGAAATGTAATATACTAGAGTTAAGGGACGAATGTGCTTAAGTTGTACGAAATGTGTTATTGTGTTATGTCGACAAATACTCAGTTTTCACAAATTTGGGGAACATAAATATGTACATATGTTATGTATATTTTCCTTGTTTTAAGTCACAAATGCAAAGACATTAATGTTATACAAAAACAGAGAATTTATTGGGAGAGATTTCAGTGTAAGCTACTTTTCTCAATGTTTTCAAAACCTGTAATAATTCCAACATGCAAAAAGTCCAACGCCCTCTTGTCAACCGTATCATGTTTTTGTTAAATAAGGACGCTGTCATGTAACATTGTGTAGAATAATGTGTGTGTAAAGTTGCATAAATCAATGACAAACGACCAGGTCTTTCCTTTCCAACAAACCCATCCTTCCTCATGAAAACAAAGAAAGTTAGTAAAAGAAGCCTCAAAGTAGAGACACTGCGAAGTTAAAAATAAACGACTCGGCGGCGAGGCCAGCAGGGGGCTCAGAGCATCCTGGCCTGGCAGAGCTGGGGCGTGGGGTCACTGGGGGTTGCCTGCCCCTCACGCCTCAAGGAGCGCCGCCCGCTAAGCCTGTTCAATATAATAGACAACTTTGGATACAGATTGACCGTCAGTGACGGGTACTTTTCTTGACATGTCATGGCGACCAGATTGTACACTGAGAACATCTTTTAAGGTGCACAGGTTGCTGGAGAGATTTTCCAAAAGTATCAAAATACGAGTCGAGAGCGCTCCGCGCGCGCGGTCAGTCAGACGAAAAGCGACGTGGCCCCCGAAAGCCACGCAATAGAAAAGGCTTAGGATGAGCCTCGAGCCGAACGCCAAATAGGTGGAGGGACAAAGTGGGCTGGGCAGCGCGAGGCAGCCGAGGCGCGGCCAAGGCGAGGGTCCGCGTTCACGTTCCGCTCCGCTGGCCGCGCTGGTCCAACAGGATCGGATGATCCCATATCGGCGACTGCTTCCGATGTCGCTTCTTCCGTTGAATCAATCGCCGCCCCAACCCGGCCGCCTCCCCCCAGCCAGCCTCAGCGCAGCAGCCGCCCGACCTGTGCGACAAGGAAGTCGCCCCGCTTTGTCAATAATTAAACCGTGCTTCAGAGCAGACTAAGCACAGCAGCTCAGATGGCGTTTTCGCCAATTCGCCTGCTTCGCCACCTGGCACACTTTTAATTCGAGGCATATACGACAGAGCGTCTTGACTTCACTGCATGAAGAAAGTTTTTCATTCGAATGCTGTGTTACTTTTGAACAGACATTTGGTCTGGTCTAAACTGTACGCAACCACAAGTCTATCATTCAATAATTTCTCTTCAAACGCGCATGGTTAATGGGGTTTCAGCAGGCATTTAAGAACAGTATGTTCCCAGTCAGAGGCCAGCTTCGCGGACTTCGGTTCGAGCGTCGCGTCGCCTGGGCGCTGGCCCGAATAAGAGAGGCAGTCCAGTCGGCCCCGAGCAGCACACTCATTTCGCACAGCGTTCTGTCTCTCAGTCTCTCTCGCACCAACACGGCACGCCCCATGAGGGCGAGAGAGACCGAGGACTATGCTCGGAATCGCTCTGCAGGCGCGGCCATTGCCTGGCTTGGCGGTGCCAGCAAGTGGCGCGGAAAATGGAATTTCCAGACGACAGCACGACGACACAGCGGCCAGGGTGGACGGCACGGCGACGCGGCCTGGACCGGGCGGTGCAGCGAGGGAAGTCCACGAGGATCCAGGGTTTTTGTAAGGAGGAGTAAAGTATTGCCCTTTGCCAGCGTTCGTTTACAGGACACACACAGCTCTAAAGCAAAGATTTTAAACAAATTATGTTGATGATTTCTGAAGTATGGCAGCGCGGAACTTGCAGTTAAGTATTTAAAGTCAGCAAAAAGTAACACGAAATCATCGCCACCAAATGGACAATACTCGGCGTGCCATAACAGTTCCCCGTGGCATCGGGAGCACCTGTTTTTATTCCGGGGAAAACAAGTCCGCGGCAGACGGTGCTTCAGATTCCTCTAAAATAAATCCAGCCGGCGCGCTGGCGCTGCGTGACCCTCGCCGTCACGCCTTTCGTGCCGCCAAAACGGAATCGATGAAAGCATCTCGTCACGGCGACGGCCGGGCGACGGCCTCCGCCAAGGCGCGCCAAGTGGCTCGGCGTTTCCGCGACGAGGCGCTGCCAGGCGCCGCAGAAACAAGAAACAGAATCAATGAGGCCGTGCTCTGGAGTCATTCCCCGGATTCCTCCGCATCACCGCCCCGCCGGTCTGTCTCCGCCGGGCCGCGGTCATACATTTATAAGGCCGACTGATTAATCGAGAGGGAGTGACTCTGCGCCGCTCTGCCGCTCCACGCGAGAGGTGAGCCAAAGGCGAAGCCAAGCCCTGGCCGGCGGTGCGACCAGCGCCATCTTGCGGCCGCGCCGCGCAACGCCGTGACAACGCTAGAACAAAGTGTCCCGGAGTTTCTGGGCGGACGGACGGACCGCCCGTGTGACCTTTGGTTTGACCCCCTCTTCCCCGTCACCCCACTCCGCCTCGCCGGCCCTCGTGATGCACAGCGGGGAACATCGCGAGGGCAGAGCCGCTTTCGCATTAGGACTGGAGAAAAAATGACTGGCGCTCTACTTGAGTCCAACTGGGTGGTATGAAACCTGCGCTTGGCGGCAGGGTGATTCCGAACTCGTTGCTCTCTATCGCACTCGTCCGGGGCCATCCCTTGGGTGCGAGAGAGACAGAGCGGCGAAAGCACTGTCGGCCTGGATGGCAGCGCCCTGGGCGTGGTCGCCGTTCCAGCGTCCTCGCCGTGCCCGGCGGTGCCCGGGCCCGAGGCCGGCCGAGGCCCTCGCCAGCGGTCCGGCTCCAAAATGTTTTGATAAATGTTCGACTGTATGGAAATGAGCTCGGCAGCATTGTGTGCGGTGACGCTCCTTAAGGTAGCGCGGTGGCTGGGTTCAGTCACGATGAGAAGCCAATAGTAATTGTAACAACAACAACAACAACAACAACTGTTTGTTAGGTTGTCCGGCTGGGCAGCGATTCACCGATTTAGTGGACTCTATAAACGAAACTTTCTCTGAATATTGTTGTTACACGATCGCCAACGCGACTTTCGCAGTTATTTTACTCCTTTTGAATTACGAACAGAATTTGTAATTTACAAGACTCACTTGTCCACAGACAGACAACTCAAAAGAGAAGATTCATTTTTCCATAAATTTCCGACAGAATATGGCTGTCTGATGTGGGCACATACTCCGCAGGAAATCCGTTGCATAAAAACAAAAAGGTAAACCTCAAATTAGCATATTTTTGGCAGTGGCGCCCTGATTGCCTCCAAATTAATCGTCCGGTGCGAATGGTCGGCACGCCGGCCGCGGGACGCGACGCCCAGCGACGCCCGGCGACGCCGGAGTGACGTTAATCGATTGCGCTGAAAGTGACGCGCCGGCCGCAAAAAGACCGTGGGAACGAAATGGCGGCCTCCGCGACACGGCCGGCCAATGAACAACAACATTCTCATCGCCGCGCACCTGGAGCTCTCCTTAGGGGTCGGAGAAAGGGGGAAGGGGATCTAAGACGCAGCGACGCAGCGCGGCCAGTGCGGCGTGTAGAGGAGGCGTGTCGGGGGCGTGGCCAGACCGAATTTAAAGATGTGACTCTCATTCCGTATTGACACTTGGCCGCGCTCGCTCCAGCCCCACGGCCGGCCGCCTGGGCAATAACACTGTAATGGCACATTGTAATTATATTGCCCGAGTGCGAATAACGCTCTGCCGCTTTATTTGCGGCCTTTACTGACACGCCCCACCGCGGAGCGAGCGCCGAGCGAACACCGAGTGAACGCCGAGCGAGCGCCGAGCGAAATGTGTTTTATCCTGTGTGACCAGCCGAGCGGCCGCCACGGTTATGCAGAAGACGTTTCATCAAGTGGCGGGGGGCTTAGAGAGTTTAAAGTTCTCGGAGGATTCACCGACTCCACCACCTGCAGTGGCGACAGGCTTTCTGTGCCAGTAATACGCTGTCCAGAAGAGAAGGCGTGGGACTGGTGAGCGCCTGTCAGGGTAGGCCACCCGCTCCGGGCGCGCGCTCGGCGGGCCGGCCTGGGCGGCAAGGCGCTCGGCGGGCTGGCCTACGCCGCAGGCGGCGAGACGCTCTTGAACTTGGGCAGGCGTGCGTTTGGGGCGTGAGTCACACGCGGCTCTCCCACGCCCGAACCCGTTCGGGGCTCCTAGCAAACGAACCCAGAAAGAGGCGTGGCAGGCGGGGCGGCGGCGGCGCAGAGACATCGAGGATGACCGCTGTTTATTTTATTTTTATTAAACTCGGTCTGCTCTGCGGCTTCTGCTGCTCCGCCGCATGTCGCTCCGAGAAACAATATACACTTTATTTGAAATATTGGTTGGTAAATATAGAGCGGGCCGTTGACCTGGGGCTGCCTGGGCCCACGGCGGCGGCCTTCCCGGCCTCGGCCCGGCCACGGCGCGGGGCCCTGGGGGGAGGTCCGGCTGGAGGCGAGAGAAGGGGCCGGCCAGACCGCCTGACGCCGCCGCGCGCCGCCACGACGTGCAGCCTGGACGGCCCGGACACCAGAGAAACGTGAAAACATTTATTGAGAAGGAATGAGCAACAGTTAAGATAAAAAGAGTTACGTTGTGACATCCAGCTCAGTTCAGACAACCATTGGCGACAAACGCAAGGAGTAAGCAAAGCCTTCGAGTGCGATGGTTGAAAACACATTACTTTGTTGAATTTTTGGTGTCGGGAGCAGCGTGGAACAGACCAGACAATGAGGCACCCAGTCTCGGGGCGAGGCACGTGGGGTCCCCGGCACAGGCACAGGGCTGGGAGCCCCGCGGGACATCCCACATCATTAATTGTCAGATTTTAAATGGCATGTACGCTGTGACAGTAAACAGGTGCACCACACCGACTTCTCACTACTAGGGCAGGGCGCATAGTGTTTTTTTCGCAGCGGTCTGGTACCCACGCGGCTGTGTGTGTGTGTGTGTGTGTGTGTGCGGCCCCTCCCCTGGCCGCAGGGCGCCAGGCCAGGCCGGGCCCCACGACGTAAGGTGCTCCGCTGGGCCCCAAGGCGAGGCCCCCAGAGCACAGCGCCCCAGACGAACGGAGATGAATGGCCGAAAACACGCCCCGTTCAAGGAAAGGCCTGAAAAAGATGCACCTCACCTGTGGCTGACTCACTCGACGCCCTGGCAGTGCCGGACGTGCTGAGACGCACTGTGCAGTACGCGACGTGCGGGTGGCAGCCTTCGCGGCGCCGCGGTGCAATCGGGGCGCGGGCGGGGCGGCAGTCGGTCTCACACGTCACATTTCACAGGTAGTTTCGATATCACCGCCTTATCCGCATT